CCCTGTTACTCAACAACGGTTTCTGTTGCCTGTGCAAATACTCAGTTTTCATCTCGTAGAAGATTGGGATTGCAAGATTTATAAAATGCCACAAATTCTCGAAGCGTTTTCCTTTTAAATAAATGTACTGTATAGCTTTAAAAAAGATTAACAGTTAACGGGTTAAGCTCATCACATAGATCATTTATTTCAATATCATTATTGACGAATTTAATAACTACATATATATTGTGGCAGTAGACGTTTTGGAGGATCGGGTGTAATTGTAATATTTTCAAGTTTAGTAGGATATTTCTTTGCATCACATAGATAAACATAAAGATCAACGTCTTTAATTACACCAAGTAGTCGCTGCCCGTCATTGTCTTGTCACTAATAATCGAAACCAATAGGTTTGGTATGATTTAGATATTGTTTTCGAAAATCTTTATCAGTGGCATTAATAAATGATGTTACTAATTTGGTCGCTGTTTCTTTTGACTTTATTTTAGGTTCGCATCCCAATATGATTGGTGGAAGATGGGTGTCAACAGAGTAAGAGATTGATTGTTCATTGACATTATAATGATTAAAATCAGTTGGTGTGTTGCTTCATGTGTTTGAATGATGATTATGATTACCATTAGTTTCTCTGGCAATGTTCGTTTCATTTTGCCGTTCATGGTTACGATTTTGAATTATTAATGATCTATTATTATTATTTTTATTGTAGTAATTATTTTCAAAATCACCTTGAGTTCATTGATTTGTTGGACTATGAGTAATATTTAAATTGTCGTCAATTAGATTATGAGTTCTTTTGTTTGGTGTTTCAGTTCTTGCAACATTTGTATTAATATTTCTTTCATCTATATCCATATTCATTTTGTCTTTTAATATTGGTTCGTTTCGTATGTTGTATTCATTGTTGCTTTCATCGTTTACATTATTTTGTGGATTGTTTCGTAGCTGTTGCGCCATATTGATTAATCTATTTAGACTTACAATATCTTCTTTTGGATCTTTCCATGGCTGTATATTTATACTTGACATTATTTCTTGTGAATGTTTGCTATTTAATGTTATTATAATGAGCAATATTTTAATAGCCCTCGATCACGTGTACGCACACGCGTGCTCGTATATACGTACTAACTGTGAAGAAGAGAAAAGACGTCCGGGTGTAATGAATGCAGAATGAAAAAACGTAAGGGAAGTTGGCAGCAGATTTCTATATTTTCGCCTGACGTTTTTTATTAAAGCTGTGCCATCTTTGGAAATAAGTGTGGCAGATAGAACTCGACGAGCTTGTGGTGTATTAAGTATTATCATTTATTGTCTATGATTTGTGTTTTTTGCAATAGTTGTTGGTAAAAGTAATCCAACAGGGGATTAGCTGTTGGAAATGGTTCTGGAACGGGTTTGTCGCGCGGGCTTGTATTTGCCAAATTAATTTCACTGTTTTGTTGTGGCTGTTGTTTAGAATTGCATGGTTTACATTTCACCAAATAGATAATAGTAATAGTTAAAATAATAATGAAGGTGGCTATGATAGTACCACTGATTATGAATGTTCTGGATGATGAGGACATTTGATTCCAGTTATTTCTTATTTGAATATCGATATTGGGAGATGGTGTCTGTGTAATCAAGTCAATGAATATCATCAATGTCCGAATCAATAAATTTTAAATTGGATAAGTATGTATCATTGATAGTCTACTGAATAGTAAACACATCAATATCTGGACGAGATAATGTATTATTTGATATTATAATCAAACTCGTATTGTTACTACTAACTGGTGTACCATATAAATTAAACTGACCATCAGCACAAGCATAAAATGAATTTGGTGGAACATGAACTAATGATACAGGTGGTATGAACTTTTTCACATATTAACATTAATATTGGTTCGTTTCGTATGTTGTATTCATTGTTGCTTTCATCGTTTACATTATTTTTTGGTTCGTTTCAGTTTGTATGAAGAGATACAAAATCCTCGGGAAGATAGCATAATATGTTTTGTGTTCACTCATAATTCTTACACAAAACGGCATAATCCCCGTGTAAAAGCATTATTCTCGTGGACTATCTCGTGTAGAATATAGACCATAATTTCTGCTAGACTACATGCATAATTCTCACACAAAACAGTATAATTCTCGTGCAAAAGCATTATTCTGGTCGACTAGGCAAGAAAAAGTTTCTAGGAGAGATACGCAAAGCAGCATAATTTCCGTGCAGCACTGAGGGAAAAGGCAAAATTGACATATTGCAGTTTTTGTCCAGGTAGAACTAAGTTGTGCCAGTTTCTTAGCAAAATTCTCGTTGGACGAACATAATTTCGGTTTGACGATTTCTCTCCCACTGCTGATTGGAGAAGGATAGAATGAATGAGAAAAGAGAAGAGTCGTACGTCTTCTATAGGCCACAGTGAATAATTACGTTGATAACCATGATTCACTTGGAAAATTCCCACCGAAAAATACACGTGAAATTACACTCTAAAGAAAGAAAGGTAATTTACCGAATTCTTCATAAAGGTTCGTAAATGCATAAAAGCATTCATGAGTGTCGAAAGGCTTAAAAACCGATTAAGCAAATCTGCGAAACTTAAAAAGGTTTTCCCGTGTGCTCAGGGGAAGATCCGTTTTGGATTTTGTAAAATACCTTTTCTGTTCTTTAGAGTGTACAAACTTTTAACACAAAAATGTTTATAGGCGAAAAGACGAAAAAATATTTCATAATTCTGCATCTTTCTCAAAATCTGTTTTTGGGCGTGAAAAACAACTTTTTCTTCATTTTCTCCAAAACGGTTAGGCCGATTGGCCGAAAAACTTTTCTGCAAGTACTTCAAGTAAGTTTTATATCTCCTACAAATATTAATAAGATTCAAAGCTTCAATTAAATTACTAATTTTGTGTAGATATATCTTTCTAGATTAAAGAATTTATTTAAAAAAATTTAATCACAAAACAAAAAAGGCATTCATACAGTCAACGAAAATAAAAAGACTTTGGTCTCTTGTATTTCTGGCTGAATGTTTTCTTTCTTCAATCAAAGGAGACTTGATACGTTCCACGCTGCCCGTGACCTCCGCCTTTCGTCTTTGTATCATCCTTATCGAATTGATAAGCATCCTTGGGCGATTGAAGATGTTTACTAAAGTTCATATGAGAGGAAAGAAAGTACGCTGTTTATTTTTGCCGTGACCGAAACTACTTACCCATCTGGCGCAACAACGCTCATTTTTCCTGAATGACCTTCAACATCGCTCAAATCATAAAAGACTTGATTCGGATCATCCGTTCCAACGGATATTTCAAATTGGCTTTGTCCTGCTGGAGGACCGTCGGCAAAGGTACCATGAAAACCTTCCGGTAAATTTTCAGTGTGCGATGCACTAAAATTCAAAAACTATGATTCAATTACAAGTCCTTATTAGTTGTCAGTGGGTGGCAACGCAGAAAAACGTTTTGGGTCATAAATTTTTGGAATTTAAAAGCGTTCGAAAAGCTTTCTCATGCTCTTCTAACATTTTGGAATTCTTTTTTTACGGTCAGAGAAAAGATAATGTGCACTAGTAAGTTGTGTCATCAATAAAGGATATCCACAGCGTCTCTTGCGAGTTACACGCAACAGCCTGACATCGTTTGGGACTGACATAGCAGAGATCGACCACTTGGTTTTTAACTACTTTTTCGATCTTAAGGGAAAAGAAAATGTTGCAAGCTACGGTTTTAGCAGCTTGATACGCTAAAAATATTTTTTGCGAGGACTCCTACAAAGCGAGAAACATTGAGAAGCTTTATAATCCGCAGTGGCTTTTGAAAATATGTTTCTTTAATTAAAAAATGGAGGAAAAATGACTGTTATTCTAAGAAAAAATATTTTTCATGTAACTTTTAACAGAACAAAATATGCTAAATTTTATCCGTCTTTCTTCCTAGTGAATGTATATATGTCAATATTAATTGTCTGAAGAAGATTATAAAAATGCGTTTTGCTTGTTACATTACCCTGGAGCTAGATCGGCAATTACTTGTGGACTCTGACCATTTCCGCCCTGCGTTTTGGTCAACTGAATATTTGCTCCACGATTATTTTTGAAGATAACTGCCACACCTATTAAAAGCAGAAAGTTTGTATGATTACCAGTTTATTGTTGATTAGAGCACTATTTTTACCGGCCATTGTATCAAGGTTTTTCTTGGATTTTGTAAAATTTAATTGTTTTTCTTGAAGAAGTAACGATAGTTGTAAATCATACTGGACTAGATACGTGGAACTGCGAAAGATTCATTCGTTTGCAAAAGAAGTTCAGAAAGAAAAGCGACATCAATGTCATATATTAAGCCTGAAGTCAACAAACGCGTAGAAACTTTAACGAAAATAAAATTCGGAAAAGCGCACATTTCACGACTTTTATCTCCGTTAGTTTGTCTGCTGTGATTAACGCGTAGAAACGCGCTAAAACTCACAAAATAACGTGGAAACTCACGTTAAGTTCCGCATTTGAACGAATAATTACGGAGGGCTACCGTTAAAACGCCGTGTTTACACTGTTTGAACGCGTTTTTACGCATTTTTTAAGGATCATATCTGCATGGTTTACAGAAAAATTGATATGTAGATAATTAAATATACTTAGGATAAAAATTAACACTGAAATGTATCGAGGATGTTTTGGCGCATATAGGTAACAAGCTATCTTATGTATTTATATTCTATGAAGTTACTTGGTTTTTTCCAAGTAGTGTTTATTTATGTGAATCAATCAACCGTGCTATTTTATACACGTCATGATGAGATAAACATGGATGAATATTTTTCGCACACTTTTTTCTGCATCGTATAGATTGATATTTATCAATAATTGAATGGTGAGATTTGAACTAAGTTATCATCGCAACAGAACTGGACCTGCTATCCCATCTTATCCGCGAACCGATAAATCATCAGTAATGTTGCATTATTCATCAGAATCGAAGAAAATCGATACTTCTCTGAGATCACAGATGAATGTCGATGGAAAACTGGTTGGAATTTTTCATTGATATTCATAAGTGATCCGAGAAAAACATCGGTTTCCATCGGTTCTGATAAATAATGCAACATTTTTTTTAATGGTTTATGCATTTTCAGATACGACACGGTGTAAAAATGGTACCCAAACCTAGAACTTTTTAAGGTTCAGTATGACACTTTTTTTACAGAGTGGAGATGCGGTTCCAAATACCCCTTCACATATCTTTGGGACGTTTATGAGACTGAAGTACGGTCCCAAATACCCTCTCATATACCATCAAGGCGTTTATGAGATTGAGATACGGTTCCAAATACCCCTTCAGATACCATAGACTGGTTTTCTGAAGGAGATATACGGCTTAATAAACCTTTTCATGAATGGTAAACACCGTTGCTGCTATTCATCAACGCTTTCATATACGCTCCCTCAGTATATGATTGGGTATATGAAACACAAATACCATTTTAAAGGGGTTGTGTAAAAGTTCTACGACGGGTTCATGAGCCTCATAAACGTTCTCCATAAGGTATATAAAGGTGCAACGTATAACAATCCCTTTAAGGGTTTTATGAATGTCATAAACCATTTCATCAACGTTACTTGACCAATATTTCAAGGTTATAAATCCTCATTATTCCCTTATTCGAGGAATTTTACCGGGTTTATAATGACTTCAAAAATGGTGAAAAAGGGTTTGTTATACGTTGCACTTTCGTAAATCAAATAAGGGTTTTTTTTCTGCGCTTTGTTTTACAGTGTGCTAACATATATCATTGCAACTCTCGTAGATCAACCAACATTTAGTAGACGAAATCAACTGTCACTTTCAAAAGAACAATTCAGTGACATTCAAAATTTCTCCAGATAAATCTTTCGTCGACAAAAATATCCATGTAACATTAGCTTCATCTAAAATCAGAAGAGAATAGATTAAGCAGATGATTCCTATATCGGAGGATGTGAAATGAAAACGTTTTTTTTCCATGGAACAATTACAGATCAGGAAACACTCTCATAAATGATGCTCAATTCATAAGTGACAATGTTTAAGTGATGAATAATTATGCTTTTTTTTTGTTCAGATATGTATTCTATCTAATTCTCAAATCATGCAGATGAAATTTCATAACTATTTAATCAAATGAGTGTACTCATGTATACGTGGAATATCCGCGAAAATCTCTCATTGTTATTTTCTAATGATTTTCGACCTCATCTGAGAAACCGAGTACAGGGTTTTGTAGAGCAACGTCTGCTCTACAAAATCCAGTATGATCAGATCTCTCCAGGATGTAACCGTTTTTGGTAGTGTTAATCGACTTTTAATGACCACTTATTGTCAGTGGATAGTGTACGTGCAGAAATTTCAAAGACAAAAGCGCTTAAAACTGGTTTTTTTCACACCCTCTGGTATCCGGACTAACATAAGATACACCGCCGATATGAATGGAAAGAGTACTTTTTCATAAAACGTCACAAAACAAGAGATTTTCCCTAAATAGACTTTCAAAAAACTTAATTTTTCTAGTTTTTGAAATTTCAGTAGTTTGACTATATCTTCACTATTTCTACGAGAAATCCCAAACTTTTTTAGCACAATGATCAGAAAAAAGAGCTCTACAAACGCTAGTATAAAACAAAAAAATTTCAAAGTTTTGTGTTTCTTGTAGTTGACATCCCACGGAATCACACATTTATTTTTGTGAACACAGTTGTTAGTAATTGAATTATACATATGAATGATTATAAGCGTTTGCGGAGATAAAAGTTTTCATATGTTGCTCGAATTAAATTAGTTCTAGCTACAGACCAATGTTTTCAGTTTAATAAAAAGAAAAAGAAAAGCAATCGAAACTCTTAATGAAATTCCGACGCATAATGATCAGCTGGAGGATCACGACCTTGTGAAATATCACTCCAGCACCGAAGTACTTTATCCACATAGGTTTTATCACCAGTACCAGCTGGCAATGCACGCAAGTCATTTTTGTCTACACCATTGGGTCCTGAATTATAAGCTCGGAGAGTAACACCATAATTATGCTCGGCTACTGAATCAAACATATCTTTGAGATAACTAGCACCGAACATGACATTTTTAGCAGCACCACTCAAGCCTTGAAATCGATCAGGATATTTTTGTTCTAGTTCCTTTGCTGTTTCTGGATTAACTTGCATAAGGCCTTCATCTTGACCGCCATTTGGATTCATCGTTAAAATAACATTAAGATTTCCACCTGATTCTTGGAAGATGACAGCGCCAATCAAATCAGCTGGGAAGTTTGCCTTTTGTGCTGCCGCATTAACAATCTCTCGATGCGGTTGAAGCCAACCGGGTATTTTTTCATTCAATGTCGTCTCCTCGCGGGCATCGCCAGGTTTCTCCCCAGTCTGTGGTCCACCTGCCATCCTTTTTTGTCGATGTGTTCGCTTTTGATATAGACTGTAATCTGCAAGACGAAAACACCCAAATCTTAATCAATATGAATGAACGAATATTTTGTAAAAACATTTTTTACAACTAAACCATTATACCAGTTTCTGTCTGATTTCTGTTCTTGACCAGCTTACCTTCTGATCTACTAGGAAACGACGATTGACTTTGAAAACAAGAAGAATCAATGAATATACTAGGCGATTTCAAAGAAATCAATAATCAGATAAAACTACGAATAGCAACTGCTTCTCTCTTCATCCATTGCTGTCATCATTGATGCATGAATTTATTTTTTCACATCTAAATGAGATACCGAAAATAACCCTTGACTAAAGAATCAATAGGCAAAGTCTCTTGTTTTTCTCTTTATGTGTATAATTAGAAAGTAAAAAATTTTGTTTTGATATGGGTAAACATTTGAGAATGAATATGATAGAGTTAACAGCAGCTTTAAATCTTTTTATTGACATTTTGTTAATAGATATAACAATTTATTTTTATTACTGTCGACGTTTCGATACATTTAGTATCATTTTCATTAGTATCATTTTTTGAAAATGATACTAAATGTATCGAAACGTCGACAGTAATAAAAATAAATTGTTATATCTATTAACAAAATGTCAATAAAAAGATTTAAAGCTGCTGTTAACTCTATCATATTCAGAAAGTAAAAAGAAAAGAAATACATCAGTCACCTCTTGCATTGACGTCATACGTATCGGTGATCAGTAATAAGAGTCTGCACTTATTCTATTCGGCGTGTTTTTACTCCTTGACGTATAACGAATGTATGTTGGTATTTTCCAGATGATAAAGGAGAATCAAAATTTAGAAGATGGACTGTGTAAATGATGAATCAAATTGATCGAAACGAAGGATCGCAGATATTTGTGTATACCGATCAAAATTAGATTTTGTTTTGAATATTATGTTCCAAATTCAAATCATCATGATCAGAGAAAAATACGATGAAGAAAATTTTTTTAATGCAAGAATTGAATCTTTCGAACTAAAAGACCCGCCAGATAACAGCCAGAATGTGCCACCTCGTACTTTTTGTTGTGTACTCAAAAAGTGAGTACACTATACATCGGTTAGTGTGTTTGTCCGGCTGTTTATACGATAACTCCGCAGACTCATCCGAACGGGACAGAGATGGGCAAGTCAGACGTTTTTACAAGTCAAGTCAAGTCACGTCTGACTTAAAATCAAGTCAGTTGTTTTTTGACCAAATATGGCATAATTCAAGTCGAAAACTTACTACGAAGTACCGTTTAGCTGACACTTATGCATAGTTTATCACACTATTTGTTTATCTTCCATTCGATATTGATAGTTAGTCTTACAATGGAACCTCGTGTACTGTCCACCGAGAAAATTGACCAAATTCAGTCAGAACTATCAGTCTCACCGCTGAACTAACGAATCTAAAATATCACGTGCCCATAGCTAGCTATACTGAACCGAGATATTCCATTTTTCAGATATTTGGCTTTATGGTAAGTAAACATGAAAAAATCGAAACATTTCTCTATCTGCTCTGATAATTTGAGAAAAATTTGTGGCAGTGCATTGAGCACGCTATGCTGGAAAACTGCGTTTCTATCGTGCACTACCTCTTAGAGACTAAAATATACAATGTAAAATAGA